GCCACGCCCAGACTCTTCCTAGGGACCGAAAAACAACTCAGACCTGGACCAACTGGGACCCAGAGCTTGTATAAACACTAGTTCTTGTGTTCGTAACTCTTAGAGACTACATGTATTCTCCCTGTACAACACTTACTTTTTTGGGTTAATGCTGTTTATTTCAAGGTGCTGATATCACCAACGTCAGGAAGGAGGATGCAGGCAAGGTGGTGGCTGACGTAATGCGGGAGTACATGTATGAATTAGATATTGATGATGGACTGATGGCACTAGGCTACACCAAAGATGACATTCCAGACTTGGTCAAAGGAACACTCCCTCAGGTAAAAGACATCCGTTGGCCTTGTTCATCAGTGGGTCACACAGCCATCGATAAAATACCCCTCTGAATTTCAGGAGAACAATTTTTACAATATAACTGTAGGATAAAACTTAATAAATGTGGCACAATTTGGCTGCCATTTAGCGATGTGTCCACCAAACACCTATGCTATGGCTTTTGTGCACATTCCATTGAAAATAAGTTGTGTTCACTCTAGACCAATAACATTTATCCCTGCTCAGCTCTCCGGGGTAGACTGCCATCTAGAACAACACGTGACATGGATCTACATCAAAAATGGCTGTTTGTTTAGTAACATTGTTGAAAATCATTTGATTGTTTCAGTGGTTAAATAAATCATACGTTTCCTTTTTTAGAAACGTGTGACTAAGCTGGCTCCACGGGAACAGACGGAGGGAGACCTGGCCATGATGTTTGAGCAGTCTATGAAAGTTTACTAGAAAAAAAATTATCAATCTCCAAGCTGATCCATCTATAGATGTAGTTTCGTCAAGCAAGTAATCAGTGGTACCGTCTTATGTTCGAATAATGCTTAGAAGTTGGATAACCGTGCGTTTACCAATCAATGATATTTCATCCAGTTTTCAATCAACTGATCAAAGTATCACCTGATCTATTGCCAATCAATCATGCAACTCATAGCTTGAATTGAAATCAAGATAGCAGTTGAATGAATCCTGTCATCAAATCATGACACTGTACAGATCACTTCATTTGTGTGCTGTGTATGTACATAAGAATGCGCTATGTATGCTATTGCTTTGCTTGTCATTATATTGAAATCTGAAGAAAACTGTGGCCCATTCAAGATGATTTTTAACATGTCTGGAGGGTGTTTTATTATGATTTACATGTACTTGTATTTGACTGGTGGTGAAAACCTTGCATGTGACATATCCGAATGCAGCTGTCATGTATCTCCTTAAAAATACATATATGCGCTATGTATGCTATGATTTATTGAATCCTCTTAATTGACCAAAATCTGCTATTTTCTCCTTATCTTGATGAAGATAGAATTGTAAAAGCAAACCAGCTTTGCTTGTCATTATATTGAAATCTAAAGAAAACTGTTGCCCATTCAAGATGATTTTTAAAATGTCTGGAGGGTGTTTTATTATGATTTACATGTACTTGTATTTTGTATATGATTAGTTGTGAAAACCTTGCATGTGACATATCCCAATGCAGCTGTCATGTATCTCCTTAAAAATATGTTTATCAAATATCTACTTTTTAATTTGTTTGGTTTTCTGGTTGCTTTTTCCATGTTACTCCACATAAATTGTCAGAGTGATGTTTTCAACACTAAAGCAGGTACTGTATTGTATTTTTAAAAAAATTCTTTGTAATTGAGAGAACTGCAGTACTTGCTGGGTAATGCTTTCAGCATTATTCAGTGTATGTAAAAGTCTATCTTGAATAAACACATTTTGGATCAAACAACCACCTAGTCTTGGTTTCAAGACATTAGTGCTTGATAGCGGACACCGTGCATAGTGCGCCCCCTAACGACTCATAATTAGACTGTGCGTCAGCTCGCACTAACGTCTTGGGAATCTTGCAGCAGCGTTTTAACTTGTTCTTATTTTTCCCTCGGCTTTCCAAGGGAACCAATCAGCACTTGCTAATTTGCATGCATAATCAATTTTGATGACCTCAATAATACACCATGGTATGGTCACATGCATCATGGCTGTCTGCAGTCAACACAGACACGACAACACAGACGTTCGTGCAGAGTTAGCACGGAGTAGAACGGGTGATACTCAGACTAGGTTAGGCCTAGGATATGACAGAGGATGCTGTTTTTGGTGACCCATAATCATGTACAGTCAGTATGCCCTCCTCAGCTAACTAAACCTTCGAGGACGGAGTACCCGGACTGCAAGTTGGTTGTCGTTTTCTTGCTGCATGTGTAGGTTTATCGCCGCTTGTGTGAGTAATTTGGCCTCAGGCAGCATGCTCATTATGAGTTACAAAAAACGAGAATGTATTTATTGTGTGATATCAGACAACGATTTTGTTTTCCCAATTTTTCTGCCACAAACATCGCAAACATGATGTGATGCAGTACAACTGTAGTCCCCAACGATATCTTTTAGAAGAGTGGCAATTTCATGTCTAGTATGGAGTGAAAAATATGTCTTACATGTCACTAATCCCTTTCCACAATTACAAACACTATTGACATCGTACTTGCTCGCGTGAAGCCGCCATGTTGTTCGAACTTCGAAGTACATGTACATGTAATTATAATACCAAGGCTATAAATATTTAAGAAGATCGGACGTTTGCATACAACTGCCGCACCCCCATTCCTGCAAGATTCTCAAGACGTTAGTGAGAGTAAGTAAAATCTAGGTGCGTGAGGGCGCTCTTCAACAGAAATAAAACAACTATCAATCACCGACATCTTGGGCCAAGACTAACAACCACCTCATTGGGTGAATGACTGTCAAGTTGATGAGGGATGCATTCAAACAGTGTAATACATCACGTACTGTGAGTTTATTTGGCCTCATTAAAAGAATACTAATACCAAGGCTAACATGGTGGGAGTGTTGCTAGGAGCGTGTCCATGGCAACGGGAGGAATTTAGTCACTGATACCAGACATAAGGCTTTGCAGAGATTCCGAGCGCATATGTGCAATAATAGGAGGAAGTTGTCCTAAGGTACCTGGCACTCTGGGGCTAAATTCTTCCGTTGCCATGAATCAGCCCCCGAACAAACAAAAAAAGCCATTTAACACATTCAATTCAATCTGAAGATCTTGTGACTTGTTTGAGGGTGCCCTCTGTTGGTCGGAGAAAACTACAGGCAAAAATTCTCACAGAGTTTAATACTACAGCAGTTTCTCATGCATGTTTCTCACACTGCAACTTCTGGATGGGAAACTTTCTAGTTAACAGCCAAGTACATTTCCAGCCAGAAACTTGCTGAAAACTACATGTAGGATATAAAAACTGACACCTTTGCCTTATTAAATTTCGGTTAGAGAAGACATTCTGAATGCAACAAGAAAACATGATCAACAACGATTGCTGACAACTCTAAGGAATAAACCTTTGAAGTCCAATCTACAATTTTATCTACAACTTGGCTCCACAAGGACTCTTTCAACTTTTTCCAGGTCCATGTGAATTTCAATTTACGTAGCAGATGGATGGCTTCTATTCTTGAACGATTATGCATCTTTATTGTTTATACAGGTAACTGAATCGGCGCTTGCTTCATTCATATACTTTGGCATTTTAAAAAATCTTTCTACTTCATGCAGGCAACAAAAATCATTTATGAAATTTACATTGGATAACACATACCCAGACTACATGAAGCAAGGCAATGCTTGTAACTTCACTGTTTACTAAACACTGAACACCAAAATGCCGAAAGTTAATTTAACAATTTACTGTCCCATCTGAAAATTCAGTGCAAAGAAGCGTTGCATTTCTGCGCTACAGATAGAAAGAAATCCTCTTGGTAATACTTTACATACTACTAGCTACATCTACTGAATAGCCCTTTCCCCAAATTTCTCAAAAATTCTACTAGTAACATTTAACTTCGGCCAAATAAGCTGCAAGACTAAATAATACAAGAACTCAAATTTTCTTTTATTTTACGGAGATGTGAATTAAATTAAATCTGCTGTGAAATACAGCTTATTTATTTTTCAAGCTTTCAAGTTCTTGTAACATTTGGAAAAACTTTGTAATTTTTTTTCTTTTGTTTTTTGTTTTTTCTTTTTGCACCATGAAAAAAAAGAATTTTCATCGACCAAATCTTATTAAGTGCTGCAGATTAGATTAGTAATTTAATTGCTATAAAATGTTTTTCTCCAGCATTTTTTTTGCCTGAAAGTTACTGGAGAGAATTTTAAAACCTTCAAAATATCTTCAAAAACTTATCAAAAACCTTCAAAAATATGCTCAGTCAAGAGATTCAATTAGACCATTATATCTGATGAGAAGAACTATGCTAGCAATATGCCTAAAAACCTAACTGTAAATTAAAAAAAAAAAAGAGAGCCAGCATTTCTACTCATCAAATATTTTTCCCACTTAGGTAGTGTTACTTGGCTAAAATGTTACTGACAACCCACCAAAGGCAATACAGATATACTGAGACATTTTGGGACACTTTACCAACACTCAGCAAAAAAGGAAAAAAGATAAGCTTACAGCACCAACAGAGATCCCCTCCTCAAATTGTCTCTGCCATGGCTATGGTCAATTTTCAGTACTACACTCAGCTGAGAAACTACCTTTTCCCTTCTCCCTCCCAAAGTCCTAGTATCCAACTTGCTTCCATAAGAATCCACACGCATAAACAAGTTCTGAGATTTTTATTATTGCTGGCTGGAACAGAACAAGGAAACAAGGGCTTTCTAAGTGTATGTTGCAGTTAACAATGCATCAATGAAAAAATCTGACAATCTTGGAACTTTTGTGAAAGCTACATCGTTTAACTCCGGCAAATGACACTTGAAGTGTCAACGTGGCGAGAACAAGTCACAGTTTCTGTGATTACAGTTCAAAATGTGACAATGTTGAACCTAAAATGGACTACCAAGACAATGCACAGGAAGCTTTTACTCCCTTTTCTAAAATTCTAATTGGATTGTGTCTACTGGCATGGAGAAAACATCGATAAAATGTGACAAATGTGAACACTTGTCAGCTACAAACTTGTGACAATAATGGCACACAATTGATGCTAAACAAGTTACTTGAAAGTGAGGTTTGGTTTTAAGAATGATTGCTACAACCCTAGAGATGCCATGAAGTTCTTTTGATGTGCAGGTACGTCGGGAAAAGAAAGTTATTATCTGATATATTCCCTACAGGTGTTTCAGTACTCAACTTGAGTAGCGCTGTAGTACATGTGATCCTACAAGTACTTGTGGAATTGTATTCAGCACTGTCATTTAAAACCCCAAGTGGAAATGAATTAATGCTGAAGCTTGGTGCAACACACAGGGTTAAGCGAGTTAAATATTACTGGAAGTCACTTTGTCCTGAAACACCCACTTGCTGAAGCCTACTTCTGCTCCCCGATGCCTCCTGTCAAATTGGACATGACAAAGCTTTGACAGGTGGACGATGCTTCATTAAATGGTCAGCAATGTACCAAGAAGAACTCCTATATCAGGAGTGTTCATGAAGGGCACCCAGCTGTCTAGCTGAATGTGTATTCAAATCTGCCATTTAATTTTGATACAAAACCAAAGGCTACGCTATCTTACAAATAACGGCTGAGAACATGCATAAATTACTAGTATATTCTTCCTCCCTGTGTCAACTTTACCGGTTTGCACTTTTTAATGCCAATCCTTGTAATGTTAAACGGAAAAATCTAAGCTGTAAAAGTTTGTTCTCCAATTTATTAACTTTAGCACATGTCATTGTCATCATTATGCAATACTGATTGAATTTTGAGACCAGAGTTTAAATTGAAATAAAAAACAAAAACAAATCTGAAGCTTTCTGCACCACCCAAGTCCACACCACCCAACATCAATTTATGAAGTCTCTTAATGCTGTAACAAACTTACAGGTTGGAGCTCCTATTTCTTTGCTGCAGTCTGTGGTAATTTGGTACTGTGACAACAAAGCCAACAAAAGTTGCAGTTACTCTCTACCTAAAACATCAAGACTTATCAGAACTATGCAAAATGTATTTCTTGTTTGAGAGCTTTGGATAATAATACACAACAAATACCTTCAACAAAAACACACAAAAAATGATTAATCAACTTGCACTCAATCATTGTCTTTAGCATCCACTGCTTTGGTTTAAACATCCACTAATTTATCCTCAACTAATATCTACTCACTCTCTATCATTGACATTCCATTAACTCATCACTTATGACCAGGATCAACAAACTCACTTTCCTCCAGTAAAATGACTAACTCATTATCCACAAATATGCAGCAACTTCCTCAAACCATCCACTAACCAGGTTCAGTCAATCCATATCAACAAGACTCACCTGGGGTTTGGGGTTTTCTTGGCCAAGTCTTCCTCCTGGTCCATCCCGGCCAATGAGCGGAGAGCAGCGATGGCAGCTGCATCGTGTGATGCCTCCAGGGTTGGACCCGCACCATGGCAGACCAGCTTGGGATCAATGGACACAGCTACCACAGAAAGCAGCTCATTTTTGTTTGCCTGCGTGGATTGACAATGCCCAAGTATGTGTTAGGTTAACAAAGGACTGAGTGGATCAACAAATGCAAGTGTGGATTGCATTTGAAGCAGGATATGGGACGGAGAGAAACCCCCCGCCTTTGTGTTGGTCATTGTTTGATCGGAATCTCAGGAATTCTCAACAGACTTCTGGGGGGATGTGTTAGGTAACAATAGTCTAGAGTGTGTATAGGGATTGGACAGGTAAGGGGGGGGACCACTCCGTCCCATATCTTGCCTGGTATAGTGGATTGACAAATGCCTGTGTGGTTTCACAGATGTCTGTGTGGATCAACAAGTGCCTGCATGTGCTGAAAAATCCCAGTAAGGGCTGAAAAATGTGTGCATGGATCAACAACTTTCTGTGTGGATCAACAACTGCCCCTAGTAGTCCAGCACATCACCAAACACCAAATGAATGCCTGTGTGGATCAACAACAACCTCTGTGCATCAGCAAATGCCCTTATCGGTCAAGAACTATTTGAATGGAATGACAACGAGTCCGTTTGTTTCACATGAATCCAGATCATGATCAGTGATCCAAACACTAGTTCGCACCATCCAGACAGGATCTGGTGTAAGTGAACCAACTTTGGATCATTGATCGCGATCTGGATCCGTGCAAAACAAACAGACCCAAAGTGTGAAATCAGATGGGCTCCTCACTCCACACTGAGATATTCCAACAACTTGGCACGCACCTCTGGGAAGTCAGTGAACTGCACACCGAATCCCTGTGCCAGTCCCAGAAATTCCAGCTGCTGGCGGGGACGGACCAGTTTCTTTTCCACGAAGCTACCCGGCCGGCCCTTCATGATGCCATTGGCTGTGGGCGAACTACCCTGGTTCAGGAGCTCCCGGGCGATGTCGGAGGTCACGCTGCTCATGGTTGGAGAGGCCTTCTTGCCAATGGGTGTGCCAGTGATGGGGGCACCAGGGGCACGGTTTAGACCTGGGGCTGAAGGAAGACGAAAACGACCAAACCAACAGTGTCAAAAGTCTGCAATATTTACAGTCAAAACAGGCCGAAGCCTTTCAACAGTCGGCTGCTGGTTCGGCGCTAATCACGGATATGTTCAGGTATAATGAGCATCCTACTTTTTCTTAGACCTGTATGAATATTGATTTTCCTGCTATATCAATATACCTCATTTAGAAAGTACACTTTCAAAAAAAATGCCCAGAACTTTGGTACGGTAATGGCATTAATGCCCATAACTTTGGTGCGCTGATGGCATTAATGCCCATAACTGTGGTACGGTAATGGCATTAATGCCCATAACTTTGGTGCGCTGATGGCATTAATGCCCATAACTGTGGTACGGTAATGGCATTAATGCCCATAACTTTGGTGCGCTGATGGCATTAATGCCCATAACTGTGGTACGGTAATGGCATTAATGCCCTCACGTTTGGCATTGCTGCCCTTTATTTCAAACAGTCCACCAATGTCAAATGGCAGTGCCCTGAAAAAAAAAAAGAAATTTCAGGCCTTTAGGACTGCAAAACGATGGAAGAACCAATCACCTGCAATCAACTGCTGTAAGTCTTTCTTACTTTCTTAACCAAAAAGAATGAATGATTTCAACTGGAAAATAAGGTGAGTTTTGCTAAAAGAAAGCCTACCGGGTGCTGCCGGTTCCTGTTTAACAGTGGGAGCCGTAGGCCCAGGGAAGCCAGCTGCCGTGTTGACGCCAGGCATCATGGGCAGCAGACCGGGGGCCAGCTTGTGGCCTGGTATGGGCGACTCCAACTTCTTCTTCTCTCCGCCTGCAGTGAAATAGAGAGGTGATCGTAACGCTTGGAAAATCCTGAACGGATACTTCCATGAAGAGCACACCCTGTTGGTTGGCACACAAGCTGGGCCACACGGATCACATGATCCTGGTTTCTTTATGGCCATCAGGGAATGCTCAGGATCCATTTCCCAGTAATTCCTACTTTAAGGACACCTATATATTTTTGTTCCATTCAAATGTTCCACTACTTACGAGGTTTGTGTCAGTCCAAAATTGCGTCTGCAGCCTTGGGGAGTCTTCCTTTGACACAACTCAAAGCCTAGCGAGTCATTTTGGGGAGGGCGCTGCGCAAAAATGTGAAATTCTCACCACTGTTGGCAGCTGAAGAGTTCAGACATAAATATGCTATAAACTGGCAGGGTCCTGGAAGTAGTGAGGATTGCTTACTCAACAACCCTACCAGTCTAAGGTCTAGAAACTGGAAAGATTCACTGGACAATCTCCACAACTGTGGCTGGAGACAACAAAATCCGATTCTTCACAGAATTTTGAGGAAAGGCTTAGAACAGCTACATCCAGCAATTCAAAAGTAGCTAACCTTTTTTGTCTGGGTCTTCCTTGAAGGTCACTTTTCGATCCCCTCCACTGTTATCGTCACCCTAAAATGATCAGATCACAATTGAGAAATAAACAATAACAGCCAATTGATTTAAAGACAATAAATAATGGATGCTGCAACCATTGGTTTGCTACTCACTCCATCAAAATTAGCCAAAAGCCCACTTTTTTCAGCAACTGTGTTTAGGCTATATGAGAAACATCAAGTTAAACTCTTGGCTTTGATGCATCACTCATTTTGGCATCCCAATGAAAATGGACATTGTGTGGATGAATAATGCTGACGATTCCCACTGATATTCTTTGTACAAGTTTCTTTCAAAGGCCTGCTACTGAACAGTAGCTCTGACAACCTGTGACTTATTTTCACAGAGCGGGCCATACTTTCAGATTTTGTCTGTGGTTTCCTGAGCTCCACTCACCTCATTGCTGGTCTTGAGAGCGGATTTTGCCGGGGTGCTAGCGGAGGCAGGAGGGGTGGAGGAGTAGCCCATCTCCCTGAGCATCTCCTCAGCTGCTGCCCGCTTGGCTGCCTTCTTCTTGGGACCTTTGCCAAAACATGTCTTGCCGTCGGCTAACACCTGAAGGATTGAAGTGGGTATCTTTTTCATCAAGCTGTTACTTTCTTTAGGAAGAAAAAGGCCCAAGTACACAGACTATGCACTCAGGTTTTGCATACATTTGAATGCCGACTGGTCCACTACTGAAGCCATTTGGGAAACTTCAATGTGGGTATACGAAGAAGCGCCTTTATAGGTTCATTAACCCTAAAGATCCTCAATCCTTCAAAATCCTTTGGCGATTTTGGAGGATTTTGGAGGATTGAGGCTGCATGGCAAAATTGCATTGCTGATTGCTAAGGATGCATATTCTGAAGGTTGGGGGTTGGATCTTGTCATGTGTTGTTCATGGAGGCAGTACACAGACTATGCACTCAGGTTTTGCATACATTTGAATGCTGACTGGTCCACTACTGAAGCCATTTGGGATACTTCAATGTGGGTATACGAAGAAGCGCCTTTATAGGTTCATTAACCCTAAAGATCCTCAATCCTTCAAAATCCTTCGGCGATTTTGGAGGATTGAGGCTGCATGGCAAAATTGCATTGCTGATTGCGAAGGATGCATATTCTCAAGGTTGGGGGTTGGATCTTGTGTTGTTTATGTTCAGCCATGCATGAATTCATGCCCATATATGTGAAATCCTCGGTACTGCGGCAGGATACCATTCACACTGCCTTAACATAATCAGAGGAATTGCTGAAGGATTTGGAAGGATTGAGGCAGTGGGCACCCTTCCACAGAACATAATCAAGAAATATCGCAGGATTTTGAGAACTGAGGCTTTTTTCATGGAGGCAGTTGGAGGATTTTGAGGGTCTGAGGGTGTATCCTAGCCAAAAGGGCCAAGGTGGTTAGGGTTATGATCAGCAGCACACTGCCCTGTACACATTTAATCCCTGTGACCGAGTATAACATGTAGAAAACCCAGACCACGGTGCAAACCAATGCGTTCATGTCCAATACCCCCATCTTACAATGGTGTATATAAAACTATGTAGTGCCTAAACGGTTTGTGCACGTGTCTAATGAAAGAATGTGGCTTGCAGTGATCAGTGCTTCCAGTACGGGGTACCAGTGAAGAGTGGTTCAAATGCACACTGTGATTCATGGGCTATGGCACAGGGAACCGGTGAACATTAGATTCCTTTCTTTCCTCTTTACCTGAATGGTGAATTCCCGCCGGCGGTTGCGTGGACCAGGCCGGCCGGTGTGCTCTGTCACAGTTTGGTCTTCCACCACAGAGAAGACTGGTTCCTTCTTGTTGATGGCTTGCAGGATCTGCACTAGGCGGCTGATGGGATTCAGACCTGAGGCTTCGTATTCAGGATTTGTGGCACGGGTCTGAAACGAATTAAAATTAAAAATTTGCAGAATCGGAGAACTTTCCAAATATGAAAGTAAATGTTGACCTCGATATTTCTGTGGCAAAATGGTAGAAGGTGAGGTCTGTACAGTGTTGTGCTGATAGAAAACAGTTTGAACGGTTGGAGCAGCATTAAAGCTCCAAAATTTCATTCTTGGGGAAACGGGTGGGCGTGAAAAACAATGGACATCACTAACCTTGATAAGGGACTTGCTCTTCTTCTTCTTGATCTGGAAGTACGGGCGAGGGCGCTCTACTTTGGGCATGGTGGGCAGCATCTGCAGGTTCTTGATCATCAGCTCGGCCGCCTTACGCTTGGCGTTCTTTTTGGAGTTGCCCGAACCTTCTGTCATATACTCGCCCACCTTGCACTCCACCTTGAAGCTCTTGAGGTGTGGGGGACCCTTTTCCTCTGTGACCTGCCAAGTGTGAAATTTAGGGGGTAGTTCTACAGTTGAGTACATGAAAAGTATTTTACAAGTACTCACAATTATTTACCCAGTCTTCATGAAAACTATCAACTAGTGTCAAAAATGTATTTCAATAATACTTCGAAGATAATCACAATAAAGGCTTTGTGTGGCAGCAATCTTGCAGGGCAGTTCTTTTGTTCCACAGGGAAACCTCCATTGTGTATACCCAGTGGAACAAAACCACTGGCCTGAAAGATGGCAGCAATGTAAACCCTCTATTGCTTCACTAGTACACACAAGTTATCTGGTTTCAATGTCAGTCACACACTATTCATACAACGCACCTTTAACCTTAACTGTGCCGTCTGGAAAGTACATGTATATTACATTACTTTATTTTGCTCTGACTTAAGATAATAATTTAACAGTGACAGGAAATGTCTATCTGTGCCAAATATATCTGTAAAGATATCCAGGTGCATAACAAGACCTGAGAAAGTGTCAGACCACACAAACGTATGATCTATCTGGCATGATAACTGTAGCTGCTGGCATAAAGGAACTCATGACAGTCACTGTTGATCTTACCGTGAAATTGACAGACAGGTTGTGTTGATGAGCCTTCTCATAGACAATGCTGATGTCTGATTTGAGTCCGTCTTCATCCTTATCTTTGACTGCAAAACAAGAACTAAACTCTAGGCGGAGAAGAGCAAATGACTGGAGTTGGATTGGAGACTAGACATTCAGAATGCTACACTAGTGTACTACCAAGTCTACTGGCCAGACCTTTGTTGGTGGTTTCCCAGTATGTCAAGACCTTTGCTAGAACGATACTAAAAAAAAGTGAGGAACTACAAACTTTGTGCTACTGGCAATCGTCTAAACTTAAAAGATAAACAGACACCCTTGGTGATATGGATTCCATTTCAGCAAATTAAAACACTTTCCTGCTGTCCACGACTTTATGCAAACATGCGTAACTGTGGAGTCTCACTCCCAACCTATCTGTCTACTGTCTCTTACCTGAGTTGATAGGAGGGTCCGAGGTGCTCACAGCCTGAAAAACAAGCAAACATAAAATTTCAAGAACTTTAAAAAATGGTCCCCAGAGCTACTTTCCTCATCACTTGCTCAAGGCCTTCCTTGAAAGGAATAGCTAAACCAGCATAAAGAAAGGTTAATTATGAAAGGTGCTAAAGCTAAAATGCTCAAAAAAAAACAAAAGCCCATGGTTTACCTTACATTTTTCACAAGTCTTTTCATTTAATTTCATTACCTCATCTTTGCATTCTGGTAATGGATCGGCCTCAATGGATTTCAATGCTTTCAGGGCGGCATTCTGGCGGGCATCTTTGCGGGTGCGGCCTTCACCAATGAACTCTCTGTTCCCCACCTGAACTTTGACGTAGAAGGTTGGGAGAGGACCAGCGGACCTGCAAAATTGACCACAAACAACTCCCTGAAGTCTGTAATGCTTGTGACGAGCCTTAACAGGATAATTTTTCAACCCTGAGGACTGCACAAGATACTGTGCAGCCCAAACATGAGAGGCAAGGAAGGAACGGCAAATCAGTTGGCAACTAAACGAGTATTCCTCCTGACATCAGATGTACTCTCCAACTCACTCCATGGAGTCTTTTACGGATCAGCTTCGGCACCGTCCAAAGCTCTACATAAATGAGTAAACCCACAAAGAACAAGGGTGACACCTAAATTTGAAGTCAAACCTGTCACGGGTCAGGTTGCCAAACAAAATTACAAGTCCATTAACATATAACGCGGTGATTATTGACAAACTTCTGGGGACTTGCCTAAAAGATTGATCAAAAAGCTGTAAATCCCTTACCTTGGGAATCTTGGGTAATATGGTTGGCGCAGCCCTGGTCCCCCAGGGCCCCTGAAGTCACCAGGACCTCCCGGCCCCCTAGGCTCACCTCCCATCCCTGGGCCCTGGGGTCTCATACCTCCTGGCATAGGCAGCCCACCAGGCCCTGGGCCACCGTGGGGACCCTGGGGCCTGGGTGGGCGAAACCCATGCCCGCCCCGCCCACCCCGGTAGAAGTTGTGGAAGGGCATGGGGTCAGGGCCAATGGGGGTGTAGTGGATGGCCACGCCTGCTTTCATAGCCTTGCTGTTGAGCTCCACGGTGGCTGTTAGGGCGTTGGGGTTGGGCTGAGTGGACTTCTGAATCCGAGCCAGTTTGGGCTTGGGGGCTGGCAGGTTGCAGTTCAGCAGAGCCTGCTCCGCAGCCTGGTGCTGGGCTTTCTTGATACTGGTACCCTGCACAAGAAACAAACCTTTTCCTTTCAACAATGTTGT